GGACCTGAGGGACTCTGGGGTCAACTTCCACCCAATTTTGGGCAGAAAAAAAAACAGGAAAAGATGGTGATAGAGAGGAGAAACAGGACTATGGTCTCCAAAGAATCTAGAGGGTGACTGGGGCCAGGGAAGGACCAATGTTTCCTTTTCCAGAGTGTGCCTGTGTTGCTCGGGTGTTTGCTTGACCAGCGGCTGCCTGATGAATCTTGCCCGATCCGAGACCCGTGTACCCTGTCACAGAGTCTTCTAGGGGCAGCCACCCTTATGGCTCTTAAATGGTGATCCGTGCCTAAAAAAGGTGGCCCATAAGGGAAACCAAAAGTCCTGGTTTCGGAAAGAGAAAGCCTGTCCCCTGTGTCTTTAAGATCTTCAGTTGCACTAGTGACTTAAGTGGCTGACAGGGTTCCGGTGTTTCGCCTCCCAATAAAGAGTAAAGGAGCAAGAGCCACAGAGTCTGCTTTAGTTACAGTTCCCTAGGTCTCGGACGAGCCCCCAGGAGGAAACCCAGTGCTCGGATCCAGGTTCGTCGTCTCGCAAAATCGAAGAAAGAGTTCACGGACAAAATGCGAGCGAAAGGAAAGTTTATTTGAAAGACAGACAGACTCCCCACAGTGGGGAGGGGACCCAAGTGGGTTGCCGGTGGGGTTTCGCTGTCCAGGGGTAGATATACGCCTTGCTAACTTTTGATGGTTCCTTCAAAGAATTCTGCCTCAGCAGCATCTACACATTTTAAGGTTTGTGTTTCCCACCAAACTGGGTTCGGTTGTAAATCATCTTGTTTTTCACAGCTAATCTTTGCAGGCAAGCTGCATCCTGTCAGTGTTTACAAGGTCCTCTGGTTTGTTTCCCTTCTCAGAGTCTCATCCCTAGCTACCTGGCTTGCCCCTATCTCCTCAATCAGAAGGGAAGAAGTGAAGGGGGTGGGGAGTGGGGGTGCTAATCTGTTGTTTTGGTTACTAGTCACTGAGAAACCTTCAGAAAGAATCTTAAAAATCCCACAGATCCCTTGTTTGATTTATGAGGACAAAGAGGCCCATAAATATTAAAAGCCCTGCCCAAAGTCACAGTCCAGTGAGATTTGCACTCACTACTGTTCAATGAATTAAACAAGGAGGCCATTAGACGGAGGTGAATCGAAGGCAAACCAAAATCTTAGCCTGTAAATTCTCAGGTTACAAAATCAAAACACGAAGGACAACCATTCACAAATAGCCAAGTAGGCGCTAAGCTACAAAAAATGTAAAAATCAAATAATTCCCTCTCTTTGCTTCTACTCTTTCTCCGTCTTTCCTCCGGCCCCTGTTGGCCCAGCGCCCTGACCACGTTCGGTTTGACCAGGGGCCCATTCAAATGGATAAATGCTCAAACTCTTAAATTTTTAAATATGCCTCAAGTTTATCTTTTCACACAGCACATGCATATTCGCACCAGAAACTGGGCATGGTTTGATTTAACTTTAAGGCTTGAGAATCGTCACCAATTTGTCAAGGTGCAAATTGTCCTTTTACAATGTTCCTCTTCTCCTCCACTCCTACCCCCTCCTTTCCCTCTTTCTTCCTGTGTGTTTGCAGTTCAGAGAACTCAGGTTTTTATTTCCTTCTGGGTATGTACTAGCCTCAGAGGTACCATGGGCCTTGAACTTCAGTGCTGGGCTTCAGAACAGAATGCCCTGAACATACAACAGCACTTAATAGAATCTGGATGAAAATTTCATTTTCTCCACATAATGACTGGGCTGTAAAATGTTCAATGTTTGCAAGTCTCATTAAGGTGAAATAATTCTCTTCTCACTGACTCATAGATTTTCTGCTTGCCTATGTCCCTAAAGGCTTTTTGTAATTCTCATCTGAGTATCTCTTTTTAATGCGAAATTGTCTTCTATCCCACAGAAAGCTTTAATGTGGTGGGGACGGTCTGTTTCTCCTGGCAACATTGAGGATACTGGACGAACAGGGGTCAGCTGGCTAGTTTGGAGAGAAGCCTTGGTCATCTGTTAAACAAAGCTGGGAATTCTCTGAAGAATGTTTAGCAAAGATACTACAGTTTGAAGTGAATAGGAGGGTTTTGTTCGCAGGCTCTGCCTTGCTGTTGGATTCAAAGAGTGTTCAGCCCCAGGAAAGCACATCAATGTCTTACTTGGAACTTAAACACACATACAAAAGGCTTCTTTATTGCGCACACTGAGCGTTGCTGAACTGTAGAAAAAGTTCATCATGCCTAAAATCTGTATCTTTGCCTTTGATCCACAGCAAGTGTTCTATAGGAACAAAGACATCATATTTTCTGTCTTTGACAAAAAGAATTGTCAAGGGTTTTGCTTCAGAAAGATCAACAAAAGACCCAAATGGTTCTCCAGAGTGAGATCTCCGAGTTTGGTCTGTGGATCGGGAGTGGGGGTCCTGTGTCATGTTGGTTCTCAGCTTTATCACACATCCATATGTGTGTGACCCCAAACAAAGCACTTGAATTCTTTGCACCTTTATTCCTCCGTTTGAAATCAGGGATAATACTTGCTGCCTACTTAACCTCAAATGGATCTGTGAGGATTAGCCAATTAAAGTTTGTCAAATGCTTGGAAATCAATGAAGGGAAAAATCTATATGAATATAAAGTATTATTACCATTCCCCTCTGTCTTCCTCTTCTCTGTCTCTTTCGGAGGATTGCTGTCCGGGGAGACTTGGTGAGCATTACTTGTCATTTTGTTATTGCAGAAAATGACCTTCTCCTATTATTAAGTGATTTCTCTGAATTTGGTCCTTTCTGTCCTATGAAGGGAAGTTTCCAAACTGAAGCATCTAGACTGATGGTTAGTGAGTCACACCTGCAAAGGTTTCCTCTCGGTTTATCTTTAGAATCCTGTAGAGAGCAGAAAACAACCATTTTAAGATAAAATAGTAAGTGTAATTTGGAAAAATTTGCCCATTAGTGATTCAAAGCTAGTGGAGTATAAAAATAAAGTCAATTTAGAGGCCTTGTTATAATCCTTAAAGAAATTCCCATTTAAACCGAAACAATAATAATATTTTATATTTCACACACATTGCCCCTCTGGTTTTCACAACCACCTGTAAAGTGAGTATAACACAATTTGAGTATAACACAGTTGGGTCATTTTGTAGTTGAAAAAGTTCAGATGTAGAGAGATTTTGATTTTGCCCAAAGTAATTTAACTGAGTAGCAAACCCAGGGCTAGACTCCAAATTTGTGTATCTTCTTGTTCCAAAGTCAATAGATTTTTCCACTACACCTTGCTGTTTATCCTTTGACTATGGCCCAAATGATGTTAAAATTCCAAACCTTGTTGCTTTGGTACTTGTGTGTGTGTGTGTGTGTGTGTGTGTGTGTGTGTTTCCCGCCATACCACCAAGCTGTTAACTGAAGTCTGACAATATCTACGTGGAGACAGCTTCAGATCCCACACAAGACTGCACTGTCCCCGAATGTCAGAGGCCAATTGCAAGTCCAGGCTGTCACCTGTGCTCCTGACCTACACACTGTAGCTCAGAGGCTCACACAGCCTCCTCCTCACGTTCTATTAATGGGCTAGACCGGCTCACAGAATTTCTCTTACTAGATTGCCAGTTAGTTATAAAAAGACACAACTCGGGAACAGCTGGGTGGGAGAGAAGCCTGGGAGAGGCTATGGGGAAAGGGCATGAGGCCTCCATGCCTCTCTCCCCAAATCTCCAGGTGTTACCAACCATCAAGCTCTCTGAAGCCCAGCATTTTGGGGTTTTATGGGGGCTTCATTACATAGGCATGATGGATTAAATTATTGGCTGTTAAAGTCACTCTCCAGCTGTCTCCCCTCCCTGGAGCTAGGGGGTGGGTCCTGAAAGTTTCCACCTCTGAAAGCTTGCTGGGTTTCCGTGGCAAATAGCCCCCATGCTTTGGTTACCTGGGGAATTCCAAAAGTCACCTCATTAGCAAGGGAACAAGAGACACCTTCACTGCTCTCTTCAGGTAGGCATTTCCAAGGGTTGTAGGAGCTCTGCGCTAGGAGCGGGATGGAAATAAAACAGACATTTCTTGTTATAAATTACAAAATGACAGTACCCTTTCCATCACTTCACAGACCAGTTGGACTTATGCAACATACTCAATCTGGCATGGGAACCTCATGGAAAGCCTGGAACCGAACACCCTTTCTAAGACCACATCCCGTGTGCTGGGGGATCGTGTAATCCAAACACAGGACCGTGGAAGGAAAGCTGGGAAGTCACCCTCCCTGACCGGTGGCAGGATGTCCGACTTGGAGGGAGGTGGTTTAAGAAGGTCCACCATCCCTGCCTCGGGGTAGGACAAGTCTAAAGGACCATCAAGAATGCCTCTTAAGGTCGGTTGAAGCCTCTGTTGTAATTGCAGAACAGTTTAATTCCTTTCCAGGCTCAGCCCTTTTCCCCTCACCTTTTATGGTTATTGTTCCTGAGAGTACTCTCCCAATGAACCTCCTGCGCACAAATCTGAGAATTTCAGAGTCTGTTTCCTAGGGAACCTGACCTGCCACAGATGGTGCCAGAAGACGCCCCAGAAAGCAGACTTTAGCCAGCTGGCAGTGACGACGCCATCGCTGGTGGAAGATAAAACATTAATAGCCTTTGGCAGGTACTTGCAGTTCAATCATTAAAACTTTTACCAGTGGTGAACTGGGATGGGATACCGCTGGAAGGGAATGGCACTAGCAAGTACAATCTTTCTGGCATTTGAGAGTTTTGTGGGAAATGGTAATTATAAGGACTTTGGAATTGGATGACTGTTGCTAGGATTCACCCATGCGTTAGGGGAAGTCAGTGAAAGGCTAAAAGCAAGTAACTACCAGTATAAACAGAGTGTGCAAGCCAGAGGGCCACCTTGGCAGGATTTAAAGACACTCTCATCCCCTGCCGCAGGAAGACAGAAAAACCTGAGGATCGGGGCCAGGATTTAAGTATAATCGTAGCAGAGCTCTATGGAGGCTGAAACGTACCTTGACTTTCAGTCTCCTACACGAATTCCTGGCTCTGTTTGGGAAGGAGTGGTACCCTAAGATTTAGGGTGAAGAATCTAAACGCTCACATTTGGCTGGACTCTGGATCTGGAAAGGCCTATTCCTGTTGTTAGCAGCTGCCGCTCCCTCGCTGAGCATGGTGCAGAAGACACTACCTGGCTACATGCATTCCTCCAGCTGTGCACTCCCCTTGCAACCACTACGATAATAATTTTTTTCTTTATTCATTTTAGAGAGAGGGGAAGGGAGAGGGAGAGAGAGATAGAAACATTAATGAGAGAGAATATTGGTGGCCGCCTCCTGCATGCCCCCCACTGGGGATTTGGCCCACACCCTGGGTATGTGCCCTGACTGGGAATTGAACTGGCAACCTCTTGGTGCATGGGTCAACCAGTGAGCCACCCTGGCCGGCTAGAAGAATAATTTAGGGTCAAGTCACAACATAACACAGCTGAGGAAGTACTGTGATTGCAAAGTGAGGAAAAGAATTATATACCTAAGGAACTGAAAAACCTAGCCAACATTAGTGGCAAGACCCGGCAAAATATAAATGGACTAGATTTTTGGAAGTTCTGGATTAAGGGAGATAGACTATAAAGTTGGGTAAAGAAAAGTATATAGATATTGGAGCACTTACCTTCGACCACAAGAACCTTGGGAGACATGCCAGTATTGTTGGGGCAAATGATGGAAGAAGGGACCTAAAAGCTCAGGAATTAGGACATATTGAAATGGCTACATCATGCAATGTAGAAAACCTGTTAGCTTATTGTGTTCTGTGGGAGAGTTCAGAGGACATCATTTACCAAAGGAAACGGGATTCATAGGGACACCAGCATTGTTGAGACTCTCTGTGGTGGCTGACCTCTGTAGACCAGGACTGATGTTGTAGGATCCTGTTGCAGAATGGACTTTCAGGTAGCAAAATGCTGATTGACTCCTAAAAAAACAGAAGCTCGTTGGTAGCACTTAACTATCAAAAGCAAAGTAAACTCCATTATTAGAAAGAGGGAGGGTGGCATGACTCACGTAGTGCTGTGGAGATAGTTCACGGAATCCAGCGTTTCCAGGGTCAAGACAGACAGAACAAGCAACAAGGTTGTTTCCCAGTCTATTCAACTAAAAGAAACAAAGGCTAAGGGCGACTCCCCCAAGGAAATGTCACAATCTCTTGCTAAGTTTCTGCACCTGATCCAATGCTCAACTCAGAGCCCTTCTGCTGGCAGAAAAGCGGGATCTCACGAGAAAAGGACCCAGCGAGATCATGGCAAGTACTACCGCAAGGGTGCTCCCAGTCCTTCTCCAGACGGGTCTACAACCGTCTACTTAGGGAACCATGTAGAGGAAAGGAAAATATTACCCAACACCTCAAAAATTGTGTGTTAACATTGATACTTGGGTCACAGTAGGTCAACTTCATGTATGGACCCAACTAGTGGTATTTCTTTAGTCCCTGAATATATAATTGGAACAAAGAGTTAACAGAGCCTCCATTTGGGTTCCTTGGCCTTGAGGTAAGAATGATAATGGGAAAGGCCAAATGGAAGACTCAGACATGGCCCCTCCCCAACCAGACATTAAATAAAAACAATATTGCATCCTTGGGGAAATGACAGAGGTTAGTGCCAGTCTTGAAAACCTAAAGAATACAGAACCCTACCCCTGATTACCACCCTCCCCCTTTTAATTCACCGGTTTTATACCTGCACTTGCAGGGTGGATTCTGCAGTAGGAGAGTGGACTATAATAAATCAATTAGGTAGCAGCTCCAGCTGTCACTGCTGTACCAAAAGTGCTATTTTACTAAAGCAAATTAGCATGGTATTAACAATGGCATATAGTCACTGGTCTTCATACAAGATAAACAACAGTATATACTTATAGTCTTGCTCCAGGGCTATGTTAACTCTCTCTTTCTCTCATAATTTAGTGACTAGCCTGTTTAAGCATTCCAGAGAACCATACATTTGCCCATTTTATTGGTGACATAGTGTTAATCAAATCAGATAAGCAATAAACGGCAAATATTTTGGAGGCCTTGGTAAGACACACAAATTCTTGATAGTATAACATACATTTAATAAAGATTCAAGAACCTACCATGTCAGTGAAACTTTTAGGGGTCCAGTGGTTTGGAGCATGCCAGGGCACCCCCTTCAGGGTAAGAACAAAGTGTTGTGTGTTGTCCCTTCCACCACTAAGGAGGGAACACACGCCTTGTAGTCCGCTTTCGATTCTGAGTGGAGCCTATTACACATTTGGTAATAGTGCTCTGACAAAATGTTTATTGTGCTCTCTCTCTCTCTCTCTCTCTCTTTTTCTTCTTCTTCTTCTTCTTCTTCTTCTTCTTCTTCTTCTTCTTCTTCTTCTTCTTCTCTTTCTTCTCCTCCCTCCCTCTCTCTCCCCCAGGATCTTTCCAGACTGTCTCTCCATGTGGACTAAGCTGGGTTCCAAAAGCATTCTCAGAGGGCCAAGTAGAGGTTGCATAGTTTTTCCTAAACTAGTCTCAAAAATCATGCAGCATTACTTCTTCTACTCCCATCGGTTGGAATGCCACAGGCTCCCACCCAGATTCAAGGGGACATAGGCACCGCCTTTTGATGAAAGTAATGTCAAAGGATTTGGGGGCCATGTTTTTAAAAAGCCATAGTGTGATAAACTGAAATCATGCCAATTTTAGAAAAGGCTGGGTATGTGTATTGGCTCTACTACATTTTATTATGTGCTTTGAACTATGTGATACAATCTATCCTTTCAGAAACAAGTCTTACTTTTTTTTTTTTGCTTTATTTTCCTTAATAGCATGAAAGGATATAACAGTGTTTTCCTATTAAACCTCCTTTGGATGCAAGAGCTAGAGACTCACTCATGTCACCAAGGGTTGCCCGGAAAACCAAACCCAGAGTAGAACCAGCAGCTGCCCCAGAACTTAAAGTGGATCCTAGTGACCTCAGTGGTAGGAGGGTCATGGAGTCCCCTTCTAGTGCTCTTGTATTTATCTGGTTTGACTATTTTTGCCCCCACCCCACTCACCTGACTCCGTGTTTGCTCTTAGATCTTAAGCCAGCATCATAGTTTCTCCAGCTTTTCTCTATCTCAGGACATTTCAATGTCAGCTCTTAACACTGTCTAATGCTTCAGGAGTTCCCTGTTTCAGGTTCCCAGGAAAGGGATAATTTGCTGACCTCAAAGTGAATTGTTTATGCTTGGATCACATCCTTTTCTTGTTTATTTAGTGGCCAGTCTTGTATAAAGAACAGTTCAGCTCGTAACAATTAAAACTGGAAGGAAAGGGAAGCCAAGATTGGCATGGCTGTATATTCATCAGCATAGACCAATGTGGATATTGACCTCCAAATGCTTGTGTGGATCAATCAGAATAAGAAAAGTAAAAAGGTAAAATATGAAGTTATCTAAAAAGATGTGATGTTATGTTTTAAACATACATGCACATATATTCACAAATTCATTTAAGAATCAGTATATCAAGTTAACATCATTGTTAATTAATCTAGCAAACTGATATATTTACAGATCAATGTTTTATTTCCATCAATTAGTATTACAACTATTTTTCTCTAACATCCAGGTACGTGCTAGCTAGCTATGTCAGGACCTTCAAGATCTGAGACTGATTCTTTCAAGTTTCAAGCAATTAGGCATTCAAATTGATGTCATGTTAATATATAGAATTTAGCATTGTATTTTCTTGGACTCTCTTTGAAAAGAAGGATACTCAGAAATTATTCTTCGTTCAATAGGCTTGAAAATGCATGTGTTTCTAGCTGCATGTGGTATCTACTCAAATCTGTATTGGAAAATTACCCTGTAAATGCTTTGTGGGCTTTTCCTTTTTCACTCATTTTCAGTCTCTCACTTCTTAATCAATTCCTATTTTCTCAACACAGACTGCATTGTCACCAAGCTATCAAATAATAATTTTTTAGAACTGAAAATGAAAAGAAGAAACACCAACCAAACAAACAAACAAGAGTGAAGCTTCAGGAACCTTTTGAACCTGCATCATTATTTTCAGCATCCAGCCCTCTGCCCGTGGTGGGCTGAATTCAGATAGGCACCTGATATGGTGATTACAATTTTTTAATTCAAGATTTTTTTAAAAAATCCCTAAAATGAATTTCCTTTCCCTTTTCTTTAGGCAAGCCTGCAAATACCAAATCCAATTATGAGAGGAATTTAATTTCCCTTTTGGTCTGTGACACAGCACAATAATTATCCATGAATGATGAAAGAAAATTGATCAAGCAGAATTCTTTTGGTTCACATGGTATAAAGTCCCCATGAAATGATGCCATGGTTGGTGTCATCCACTGACATTCACGCATGATTCAGCACCTCCAGACAATTTCAGGGAATCTGTTTTTCCAATACACGCCAGACTCTGTCCCTTTTCTAGAAACGAAAAGTATCGAGAATCCTCAGCTTTTAAGGCCGACTGCCTCCTATTACGCCCAGCACCCAGAAGCGATGCAAAGACTTTCGGGTGTTTCTCTGAATGCTGCTCAGTGACATGGTAGAGATGAGGCAGCTGGGTGATTGACAGATTTCTCACTTGTCCTGTGGCTGCCTTTGCATCTGTTGATACAGCCTCTGTATTTATCTTCGTGATCAGGCTGAGAACTCGGGGTCAGTCACCCGCAGACTGTATCCAAAATAATTCATCTTTATTGGACTGTCTTAACATGTGGGCTACTTTAGTTGTTAAGGCAACCAGATCTGATGAAGTAGTCACTCATTAATTTGATGTTCGGCAATTGTCATGGTTCTGAAGTTGGAGTGAGAAAATAATACAAATCAACTGTCAGACAGTCACGCCAAGCAGGAATCTCTCCTGGCACCGAGCCCTGCTTCTCCTTCCCCTTTCCTGCCTCCTCTTCTCCTGGTGTTTGTCCCTCCCCGGTGGCTTTCCTCCGGCGACGCTGATCAATAGCCGAGAAGGGAGATGGTTTGGTTTCACAAATACTTACATTTCCTGAAAAGGTTTTCCCTTTCCTTTGTTTTGATGTTAGAAGATGTATTTATTTGTTTTGCTATTAAGTAGTCCTAAAAGGATAGATACATCGAATGTATGGAGAATGTTCATTTTAATAGAGAATTTAGGCAGCAATGTCCTTTGCTTTCTCTTTCAAGATGAATTTCCCTTTTCGGGGAGCACAGCTCCAGAGCCAGAGACAGGCAGCTGGCTTCCACAGTCCCTCCCTGCCCCTGAGCCTGCTCCAACCTCCTTGGAACACAAGAGCTCTGAGTCTGGCCCTGGTGTGGGCTGTGGCTGGCTTTCCAAGCTGGGAAATGTGTTAGTAATTACTTTTCACTGCTGTCTCCATTTTCATTTCCAGACTCCCCCCTCCCCTGCCCCCCACCATACAGCCTGTTTCTCCACCCGGTTTCCTACCTCACTATGACTGCTAATTTAACCCTGGCTCCCTTCCTCCAGAAACATTTGACCTTGTGCAAGAACTTGGCATCAATTTCTCTCCTCCTACCTCCCCAGACTAGGATAATTAGCATCAGCGGGCAGCGCGGCCTGTGTCCTCTGGGCTCTGCCTGGTACATCAGGAGCCCCCTGTTTCCTGGCAAAAGGGCAGTGGCCACTCGTTGCCAGTTGCCAGGAGACCTTGTCCAACTTTTTACTTCAAGATAGTGTTACCAGGGCTGTGGACTAGGCCAATTAGCTCATTTAAGGAAGAAATCTATAGGGGAAAAATGTAGAAGAAATGAAACCTCCTTAGTTCACATACCCCTGCTTTGAATTTGAAAGAACTATATTGGTTTTTCTTATCGAGAAAGGTTATTATGGAAAAAAAGAAAAAAAGGTTATTCTATATCATTTGATAATCTGGAAAGGGTTTATAAGGAGATTAAGAGTTATTTAACCTGCTTAAGAGAACAAACTTTGCAATCACTTAAGGAATGCCCATTTCTTCCTTCTGTTGATAAGCTGATTACTAATCACTTTTATCTTCTCTTTAATTAACACCCCAAGGACAAACACTGGGTCTTGTTTCATAACCAAAATACCAGCATATATGTACTTAAAAATAATGCCACTTCAGTTCTTTAAAAATAGTCCACAATTCCATATTTTCACTGATTCAGTCCCACCTTCCCTTATTACACTGAATGAGTGGGGTTTCATGGTACATGTTGGCAAATGGATGT